GATTTGTGTCAAGCGGAACAGGACTGTGAACAACGCCCCGCCGCACTGAAATAGAAGCACCTCCAGTAGCTTTATCGCCCGGAAGAGAGAAGGAATGATATGAACTATAGTGGTTTAAATCAAATTTATCTGTATTTTTAAGTTACGTCTCTTGTAAACAAATTGTGGGGCAAGGTCTACATCCTTTACAAAAACCCAAGGTGGTGTGTTAATTTATAAACTACACTTACCTTTTTTACGGATTCGTAGCCCGGAGCCAGGGGGGACGATCCGAGACCGAGCTTCGGCTTCGGCTCCGGCTCAAGGTCGCTCCCCAGCGTAGTGGTGGCGGGCACCGGCCCGTGCACTACCGACGCACACGGAGCCAGACGACTCTCCTGAGGGCGAGGGACCGCCTCCGTGGTCTAGTGGTAGAGTGTCCGCCCGGAGAGCGGAGGGTCCAGGGTTCGATCCCCGGCCGCGTCATACCAAAAGACGTTAAAAGATGGTACTTGTTGTAACCCTGTCTGGCGCTCGGCATTAAGGGGCTAAAACAAGGACTGGTCGGCTCGGAGTCAGTATACTGTGTCTGAGTGGGGTATTCATGTTAAACTGCGGCATGGTATCTCAGTGAGCTAGCACTATAAATCGGCATCAGTCCGGGCTAGTACAAGCAGCCACACAAACACACCCACGTACATGCACGTCGCTATATAAGTGCAATAATCTTGGACGCGACGTTAAACCCAATTTCACCTCACCTCACCTGAGGCCGAGGCTTCCACTAGTGGATACCTAGCCCGGAGCCAGGTTGGTTCCCTTTGTCTCGGGGACGATCCGAGACTGAGCTTCGGCTCTGGCTCGAGGTCGCTCCCCAGCGGAGGGGTCGCCGGCCCGTGCACTACCGACGCACAATTTTTTCTAGCGGAGCCAGACGCCTCTTCCGAGGCCGAGGCTTCCACTAGTGGATACCTAGCCCAGTGCCAGGTAGGTTCCCTTGAAACTCCCGCACCTCGGCACCGGGACTCGGCCTAGGGCCGGGTGCAGAGGCACATGCGGGACAGGATTGCCCAGGTACTGCCTCCGGTGGCTGCGCCCATGCCGGGAAACCCCCAACTTGACTAAGGTCAAGCAGGGCCGGCGGTTGCCCCCCCCTTTACCGCGTGCCGTGCGGAGTTGAAGGCTGCTTACATATGCTTCGAGGAGCAATATCATAATGCATGCCAACAGCTCCGTGTGGTCTGGTGGGCGCGTTTGAGAATGAGTCCCATTCAACAAGCACTCCGTCGACTTTTGGCGAACTCGGAAGATCTCGAGACTGTACTCGAGACTCCGTAGTGGCTCATTACACACCACCAGTGGTGGACCGAGGTCGGGAATCTGTCCCGGGGGCACCCCCTCGACACTCGTTCCGTCTCTCACAGTTCCATCAGACGCGTCACTCTCCGGCTGGGGAGGCGTTCTGAATGATCACACTGCCTCGGGACTATGGTCCCAGCAGGAGATCAAACTGCATATCAATGTGCTAGAACTGAGAGCGGTCAGGTTGGTGTTCTAACGGTCCCCGGATCTGCTTCGTGGCCAAGTGGTTCGTCTTGAGATGGACAACCAAACGGCGATGACTTACATCCGGAAGCAGGTGGGAACGGCGTCTCCGTCGCTGCGACGAAAGACGTGGCAGTTCCTACTATAGTGCCACTCTCACGATATCAGGGTGCTACCTGTTTATCTCCCGGGGCTGGACAACGTCCGTGTGGACGCTCTGTCTTGCCGGATCCTCGCTCCTCATGAGTGGAGGCTCGACCCGGGGATATTCGGGATTTTCTCCCTGTTATACAGGCCGTTACAGGTGGATCTCTTTGCGTCTGGGGTGAATCACCAGACACCAACGTTCTTCTCCCGGGTCCACTAACCGAGGTTGGTGGCACCGGATGCCTTCCAGCTAGATTTGACGGACAGTTCTGTGGGCATTCCCCCCAGTACCTCTGATTTCCAAGGTCCTGTCTCAGCTAGGCACTCAGTTTGCGTGACTAATAGTGCTCCTGGCACCTCTTTAGTCGGCGCAGAGTTGGTTTCCAGTAATACTCAGGTTTCTGGCTCAGCCTCCTGTTATATTACCTTTACGACCGGACCTCCTATCCCAGAATGGGGCCCTCCACCCGAATCCCAGGATTCAATGGGTGGCTTGGCAACTGTCAGGAATCGCCTCCAAAAGAGCGGTATTCCTGCACGAGTTGCAGACACAATACTGGCTTCGCGGAGGGATTCGACAAACGTTCAGTACGAGGATAGATAGGCCTGCTATACGCCCTGGTGTGTCCATAGAGGGATTGCAGATCTTTTTTCTGCAGATCTCGTAGCCATGCTTGAGTTCCCCCATCGCGACTAGATGACGGCCTTGCCGCATCAACAGTCCGAGGGTACCCTACAGCTATCGCAGCTTTTCACGTCCTTATCGACGGGGCACTTTTGGGTGCACACCCATTAGTGCAGCGCTTTTTAGCAGGTGTGGACAGGATCCGACCGCCAGTCCGGCGGATCAGTCCCCCTTAGGACTTGTCAATTGTTCTCAATTGGCTGTCCGGTCCTTCCTTTCGGGATCTGTCGTCTCTCTCTCTTCAGCTGTTGAGCTGGGAGACGGCGTTCCTTGTGGTGGTAACGTCCGATCCCGAAATAACTGTCTTCCACTGGGACAGAGTCAGTTTTCGACTACCGGACTCTTACCGTCCTAGGGTCGCACACGCTTCCACGTGAACAGCTCCTATTGAGCTACCTGCTCTTTCACAGCCTTCCTCGTCGGGGTCCACTGCAAGACATGCCCATGTCTTGGATGTCCGCACAACCCTCAAGGCCTATATCAGCAGAACTATGGGTGTCCGTAAGGATAACCAACTATTTTGCTGTTACGGCGGAAGGAAGGCTGGCTCACCTGCGAGCAAACAATCTATCATATTGTGGATAGTTTCAATAGTGGGAGGTGTTTCGAGTTCTCAACTTATGACAAGCCGCAAAAACAGGCTTTATCATAATATATGGTGGACCACGACCTGTCTCTAGCCCCCGCCTTTCGACTGTGGTGCCTCACGATAAGGTTGGTTCCATTTATTGAACTCAATATTTTATTCTGTTGAATAATCAAATACGATGTATTTATTTACGGCTGTTGCTGACGGATGTCACTTCCTACATTATCTTTGGGAGTCTGTCTTGATGCAATAAGTGCCCCAAGGAGGATTTAATCTGAAAGAGAATTTTACAAACCTGTAGAGGTTATGAATTCTCTGATGAAATCCTCCTTGGGGCACGGCCACCCACCTCCCCACATTCCGTCAGCATTTGACATATGGAAAGTGATTTGGGTGAGTGTTGCTCCCCCTGGCGTGAGGCGCCGTTGGGGGTGAGGCCCCGTAAGGGTGGTCGTATATCATACAAAAACGAAGTTTTTTGTCTGGTAACATTTTTTATTAAGGAAAATGGTTACAACTATGTCATGTAGATTTTCTTGAGCAAGGAAAATGCAATAAGTGCCCCATGGAGGATTTCATCAGACTGTGCTGTGACTTCATGGCCTACCACCAGCTGCAAGTTCCCAGCTCCAAACTCCCAGCTCCAAACTCCCAGCTCCAAACTCCCAGCTCCCAGCTTGACTGGGACGCGGAAGACGAACAAGAGCTCCATCTTTTGCCAGTAAGAGCACACCATTGTTACATCCGTCTTCCATGTAATGCCGTAGACAAGCGTAAGTCAACCGCAACAGGGTTGCCCTTTTGGCTACGAGCCATCATTTTCCAGGTCTAGGAGGTCACGGGATGGGACCCCCCAACCTCCAACAACCAACATGAGACCATAGCGCTACACAGCAACTGCTCCCATTGTGCCATCATGGAGTCTGCCAGTCACTACCTGCGAGACGTCGCATTGGAGGATGTGCAAGGCACACATAGTTCTGTCCGTTAGTAGTGGCCCAATAGGTCACAACCACTAAACGCCATTGACCTCACTTCCTGCAGTAGAAGGTTCATACTGTAATATGCATTAAGGAGTAATGCAGGGTTAGTATACTAATATGTAAAAAATATCTAGGATTTTACTACACTTGTTCGTGACCAGTGTGATTTATGACTACTTTAGTTGCCACGCCCCAGAGGAAGGAATACTTGAAGGCAAGATAAGCTGTGATTTATTTATTTATTTATTGATATGTATCAATTATTTATCCCATATTGTGAAGCTTGTAAGTGAAACTCTTTTCTTTTATTTGAGATTTAGCATGTTTAAGGAGTACTGGTGTTTGATTTGACAGAAGGTATACCTCATAGTTGTACGGCAGTTTTTTAATAAAAAAAACAAAGAACTAAAACAAATTCAAATTCTTCCAAACAATTATGCTTTGTTCTTTACATCATTGCGCCATACACTTTTTTAACAAATTGAAAGAGCAACATTCTTTTACAACCCACTCTACAACAAAAACAAGTTACTGTTACAGCTTTCTATAGGTACAGATCATAGATATCGTTTCGTTAAATATCAGAAAGGTAACTTTGAGCAAATACGCAAAAAATAGAAGTCGTAAAGAAATCAACATATTTCACCGCACTGGTGAGTGATGGCATATTTATGCATGGATTACTTTCTGGACATTTAAGATGTAACAGAAACAGATTCACAATAACAAAATAACTCATGTATGATTTTATCAATGACACAATTTTCATGTCGATAATCATTAACATTTCTTCCTATCAACGATAATTCCAATAATTCCGATCGTTGATAGTTTAAGCCAGCCCAAGTTAATGTTGTCTGTCTTAACAAGCGCTCTGTTGTGTAGACTGGTCAGTCTGTAGAGCTGTTATGTCATGTATCTTTTGGCTTTGACCGGGCATTAACGAACTGAATTGTCAGGTAACCAGCACCTGGCGGGCCTGATACTGTAACCATTTCAACAAACAGACACCACATCCTCGTACTCAGTCTTCTTTGATTACTTTTGTCTTCGCTAATTGTCTCATTTTCAGACTCGAATAAAGCGGAGGGGATACAACTGCTTGAAGGTGTAGGAGGTACGAACTCAGTAGCAAGTAGTTGTTTTCCTTTTAGCTCACTTGAATGAAAGAAACATATCTTTGGCTCTATAAAGAGTGTAAATGTGTTCTCTGATATTGAGAGAGGGAGTTGTATTTTGCCATGTACGTTTCTTCAAATGATGACACATTTTGTTACAATGAGATTTTATTATAAGCTATTATTTACATGTTTTCAATGCCTTTTTAACTGTTGATTACATCCCCAGGTGAGCTATAGTTCTGTCCCACTATTTTAACTTTTTATGTTTTTGTTTGTATTTTTCAGCATTAAAAACATTGGTATTAAAACAATAGAAAATTGAGCCAATCACACTGAATTCTAAACAGCTCATTATCTCAAATCTCTCAATCCCTTCCAATCTTGAATGCCTATCTCTATGAAGTTGGTAAATACTGCCATTCTGTTTGACCCGATAGATAGATTCATCAATTAACTATAATGTATGGAGAGTATATAACCCTTTTATTCCTCCATAAAGAAGAGTACAAAAAATATCTCAAATGGTTCAAATCTCGGTTCGACCTGATTATGTTTCTAGATTTGGAAGCACCATACCCATGCTCGTGGGTTTTACCAGGGTGGTAAAAGTCTGAGACCTGCAGTAGTATAGGTAATGGGGGTTCTGCCGCAACTCCACTGGAGCAGGATTCATATACCTATACTGCTACTACAGGAGGAATTTTTTATGCCAAAATGATGATGCGATTTAATGATAGTCATAAGATTGGCCCTAGCTCACCAATACCTGGGGCCAATCATTGCTTTAGATGAGTCTAAATGGTAATAAAAATATTCTTTATTATTTTTATCGATAAAGCGATATTCAACATTTTTATTAAGTTCTTCGTTCATTTTACTAGGAGACCAGACTATATAACTACACTCTTTTTGTAAATTGATAAGAAACAATTGATAACCGTATTTGGTTGGTTTGACATCACTGATATAATAAAAACCTTGTGGTAATTCTTTCCATTGAATAGCTTTCTCCATTATTATATATTTACGTTAGCATTTGTCTAAATGTAATCACATGATAGTAAGCAATCTATTTTTAATCTCCAACCAGTTCTTTGGTTTTGGCACGGAATAAGTGACGAGCTTGTTGCCCCCCCTCTTCTATGAACTTTTTTTTCTCGTCTTCGCTAATACCACTGGTCTTACGAGATTTTGATCGAATCTCCTGCTTCATTTCGTTGTATTTGTTAAGCTCCGACAGCACTAAACGAAACTCATCCTCGGATATCTTACTATCGGCCATTGCTGTCGAAATATGATCCTCAATGCTGTTCAACTTTGCTTCGGCGAGTATCCGAATACTATCGTGTTTTAATGCTTTCTTTTGTAACCTACGAGAAATGAATTTTATCGCTATTCCTGCCAGTCCCGATACTCCAGCGGTTATTTCCATGCCGAGCACGATAGGCGCGGCGATTATAGTTGATAGTAAACCGATACCCGCTACACCGAGTCCCATGCCAGATACTATAAGAGCGGTGTGAACTCCGTCCAGAGCATTCACGGCTCTGCGATACCTTTTATACAATCCAAGTCTCAACTCCCTATCCTTCTCTATTCGATGTTTTATGTCGCTTATTTGATGTAATCGAAATCCATCAACAGTTTCCTTCTTTTCAAATGCTTCATCGAGCGCCAGATATAAACTCATAGTGTATATAACGATCATATAATAGTCTTTAATTGGTCTTGCTTAAATGTTTTGAGACTATACATCAACCTTATTAAATGTATATTATACGGCAAGAATATCTTAGAAAGAGAAATACTACCACTTTTAATAATTTGGACCCCCTCGAGGGTTGCAACGGGCGATGCTCCGATATGAATAATACTGCAACGTTGACGCTCGTGATTCTTGAACCATTTAATCGATAGACCTGGTAATATTTCGAAGGCATCTACCGGTACATCTCCGAACAAGACTTCAATAATAAGCGTAGAAATATTAGGTATTGCACTCAGGTTAACTTTAATATCTTCGAATTCAGTAACCAAATTTAAACTAATGTTTTTTAAGGACGGACGACTATATAACATATGACCTGGGTTTTCTGGCAGGGGAGTGACCAACACACTTTTTCGTTTTGACGGGATATAAGCCGCGAGTACGATGCCACTATTTATTATCTTAGTTAAATTATGTCCCTTACCCATCATCACATAAGGTGGGATAATGACGATATTCAGTAGCCACTCGATGTTTGCTTCGACCATAGTCCATTTATTATCATCGTTGCGAGTAATATTGTACGAAGTGTTTTTAAGGAGTCTACTAACATCGACATCGCTTAAATCTCCTAGATTACCCGTGAATGTGACTTCTTTCCACTTGTATACATTATCGTGTAAGTGTAAAGCGTATAACTTACCATTGTAACCGGGTTTATCAAATCCTTCTGTGTCTCCGAGATCGGAAAGCGCAATTGTATTACATTGTCTTACTGTTCCAGGGCCTGATGCATCAACCATTATTTTTAATATGGAGTGTTACACTTAAGTATCCTATATGTACTGGTTGGTGTTTTACATCTAATACAGAAATTTTAAGGTCTGAAATAATACCCCGCTGCAATTTTTTATATTGTAATAACGAGAAAGATTCCGTTCTACCGCTATTATATTTTTCATTTTTCACTGGAACACTTCTGAGAAGAGTTGAAGGACTTTCTAGTTGAATATTATTTGTCGTACTGATTTGATCAAGATGGATACACAACTCTTTATAGGGAACTAAATCGGACAATGTCTCTCCATCAAATGTTGCCTTGAATATTGATAAAATTCCACGTGTAAATCCAAGTGTAGCTGATAAGTTCCCTACAATCCGTACACCTTTTTCTCCAGTGTCAAATTTCAACATTCCATTGGACTCATTTTGTGTTAGACTAATTCTATTAGACTTAAAAATTTCATCATTGAGTGAGCATACGCTGTAATACCCATCAGGTATAATAATGAATTTTTCAATAATATTTTGTTCATCTAATATCCATATCTTATTATTACCTCTCGCAGCACTTATATTGGTCCACAGTGGGTAATATGTTACGTCGCATAGAGCGACTTCGAGTTGTCCATCCGAGTTATCGATAGTATGAAGCAGTTCAATAGACTGGCCATTTGTTATTCCCGGGAGTGTAACATACATATTAAATATATTATGATACTATATCATAACTTAAATATGGAATCAACCATTATATAATATGGAGTGTTACACTTAAGTATCCTATATGTACTGGTTGGTGTTTTACATCTAATACAGAAATTTTAAGGTCTGAAATAATACCCCGCTGCAATTTTTTATATTGTAATAACGAGAAAGATTCCGTTTTACCGCTATTATATTTTTCATTTTTCACTGGAACACTTCTGAGAAGAGTTGAAGGACTTTCTTGTTGAATATTATCCGTCGTGCTTATTTGATCAAGATGAATGAACAACTCTTTATAGGGAACTAAATAGGGTAATTCATAATTTCCAGCCACTGATGAGCCGCGTGATAATGTTACTCCCTTTCCCAATCCAATTGTGTATCCTAAGTTATCACTAATAATTATTTTTCTGTATCCATTGATGACTTTCACTTTCCCAGTCGCCTCATTTTGTGTGATACTAATTTTACCAGTATTTTCAAATTTATAATCATCCTTAAAATAATAATTGAGTGAGCTTATGCTGTAATACCCATCAGGTATAGAAATAATTCTATTAATTCTATCTTGGTCATCTAATATAAATATCTCATTATTATCTCTCGCAGTACTTATATTGGTCCACAGCGGGTAATACGTTACATCGCATAGTGCGACTTCGAGTTGTCCATCCCAGTTATCGATAGTATGAAGCAGTTCAATAGACTGACCATTTGTTATTCCAGGTAGTGTAACATACATATTAAATATACAATGATACTATATCATAACTTAAATATGAAATCGAGATACATTACTAATCAATCGATTATAGTAACTGCCTCTGGTGCTGAATTTTTCGTTAAATTCCCCGATATCTTTGAAAAATACAGGGTCACGGCAACTAGCGATAAAATGGTGCACGATTGGTTTCACAATCCAATGCAATTTTGGCAGAATCAGTTAAACTTTGCCATATGGTGTGCCACAACGGGATGTGGCGTATCTGTTAATGCCCCAGGATTTATGCTAAATAAGTCTGTTTTATTATTTCATGTGTATTATCAGATTAGACGTATACTTAAAGAAATTAGTGCTCCATTACCGCAGGATCGAGCGTGGAATTCCACAAATAATAATTATGATAGGTCCGCGTATGAGCGTATTTGTAATGAATTTAATGTTTCTACGAGTAAAGATTGGCGCATTAAAGGAGCAAACCATGGTCTAGGTGTTCCGTACAGCGGACAAAGAACTGTTAAAGAAGTCAGCGATGATTTAGTTAAAAAAACTCATCAACCATTCAATCCATTTAAATTCTTACAGAAAGACAATCTTTTTGTAAGATTGCATAATCTTAATCATGGCTGGGAACTTTCGAGTAACGATTGGAGAGGTTCCCTTATGAGTTTTAAGGGTGGTTTGGCTTATATTGTTACAAAATTTATACAAATAAACGATACCGCAAACGCTTGGAATGAATTTCTTAATGATAAAACGGAAAATAATTTTACTAACCCAGGATTTGTAAGATTTAATGAATCGATAAGAACTTATGTATGGGCAATTCTCGGTGCACAATCGCAAACACGAACATCCATTATCGGTACTGGGACGGCGCTCGATGCACAAAAACAGTTTGTCGCAAACGTGGAGGACGCCATTAATTCACCAGTTGACATACCATCGTCTATAAAGCGTTTTCAAGATGCATTACAGTACGCTCAATCCAAAGTGGACTTCGTTTATGCGCCGGGACTATACATGTCTCCGAGTAATATGGAACTTAAGATCGGTCAAGTGATAGGCTATAATAATAA